AAGTGAGGGAGCCAGGTGGGCACCTGAGGGCACCAAGGTCCTGTAACGATGCTTCGACCAAGTTTCTGTGGCGATGTGGACTCCAGAAAAAGAAGGCTGACCGTGGCAAGAGCTTCTCAGGCTGCCCTATGGGCTGGGGAAGGTGGGAAAGAATGGAGAGACTCCAGCTGCATGGCTCTGAAGGCCTGGCTGTATGCAACCAGACAGGGAAAACTTTTGTGTGCACGCAGTCAACCCACCTGCCAACCTGGGGGTCTCTGCTAGTGCCAACAGTCCTGGGTGTTGGGGGATCCTGTGAGGCAACCCCAGGTGAGCATCCCTCGGATCTGTCAGGATGCTGCTGGGGCCAGAAGCCCTCTTTGACGTCATCTAGCTCTGTATTTTTCACACGCTTTGGACACTTGTTCACCATGGTCATGATTTTAGCCATATCTGAACTATTATTTATTCCAATTAGTTTTTCATTCTATTCATTTAAACCTAAATTTACTTTTTAAAGAAATGTTTTTCTTTGTGACACTAGGGATCGAACTCAGGACCTCAGGCTTGCTAGACAATCACTCTACCACTTGAGCCGTGCTTCCAGTCCTTTTTCTTTTTTTCAGTTTGCTTTTTAGGTAGAGTCTTAAACAGTTGCCCAGGCTGATCTTGGACCAAGATATTCCTTCCTCTGCCTCACTAGTAACCTGGGATTATTGGCATGTGACACCATGTCTGGCCTTAAAAAGGAGACTTTTTTTTTTTTTAAATCTTTACCTTAAATAAAAAACCATATTGAGGATCAGTCGCCATATATAAATATGGTGAATATAAACGGTGCTTATCTAATTCTATGCGGATACCGTCACTGGTTTGCACAGGAGGCCTGCTCACTGAGGGGAGGGGGAGACGGGGCGGGGGGTGGGGGACAGGTGTTGCAGAGCTGCTGAAAGATGCAGGTTAAGTAGATTTCTAATATAACTGCTTGACACTGGAGCCTAGCACACTAAGATCAGAAGGATTAAAAGAACAAGTAAAAGGTGAGGTAAGGAGGAAGACAGAGGGAGTGACAGTCATTCTGTGCTCTGAGCTCACACAGCCAATTCATCCTGCCAGTCATTAGAGGCCCAGGCCCAAACTCTGAGAGATCTAACCCCACACTGTACTGAGGAGGACTCTGAGGCTCAGGGTTGGGAATTAGGCCACAGGTCCAAGTGTGGGGACATAGCCCTCACCCCAAATTAATTTTATAGGAGAAAGTTGTATTGGTCCTCTGGAGATGACTGGTACCTTAGAAAGACAAAGGTGACCAAGGTACATGGCCTGAATCGTATACACCCTTTCTTTCTTTCTTTCTTTGGTGGCACTGGGGTTTGAACTCATTGCTTCATCTGCCTAGGCAGGCACTCTACCACTTGAGTCACTACACCAGCCCTTATTTGTGTTGGGTGTTTTCAAGATAGCGTCTTGAGAACTATGTGCCCATGGCTGGCTTCAAACCACCATCCTCCTGATCTCTGCTGCCTGAGTAGCTTGGATTCTAGGTGTGAGCCACCAGCACCCAGCTAGGTCCTTTCTTTTTTTTTGAGACAGGGTCCAGCTATGTAGCCCAAGCTGGCCTCTACCTTTCAATATCCCGCTTCAGCTTCCTGAGTGCACCACCTCACCCAGCATCACTTTAACAGGAACGCTGTCTCTTCACGTGAACACAGGCCTGGCATATGCCTCCCTGACCTGCCGAGGCAGAGGCCCTGGGGACCGAGGGCACCCAAGCTCAAGGCTGACTCATCAGCAGCTGTGCAGATTCAACTCCTGGCAAGTGCTGGGGTGGAGGGTACGGAAGTGCCAAGCTTCCTGCCAAGTGGTCCACATGATCACAGTTGCCTCCTCAGCTGGAGCACTGAGGAAATGGGGAGTGTCCCCAGAGGCTGTGCTAGGACTCCACTCTGCTGTCTCAGCTGACTCTGGCAGCACTCTGCAGGGAAGGTGTGGCCACCACTTTGATAGGTGAGTTACCAGCCTGTAGGGATTACATGACAGCCAAGTTCATACCACAGGTGGCAGAACCAGGGTCCTCACCCAGGTCTGTCTCTGACTGACTGTACCTCAGTCTCAGGAACAGAGAGAAACCGGCAAAGTAGAAAAATCTACCTGTGCTGTGCACAGGAAGTGAGATGGCCCAAGTGGCACTATGCTCTGTGGAGTCAACTAACAACCCTGCTGACACTGATGCCTATCACAGCGCATGCTCACGTAGATCCAGCAAGTTGTCAAGGGTAGCACTTTGCTCACCCTACTTCACACAGAAGGGAGTTGAAGCCCAGTAAGATTGTGACTCTGGGCAAAATGAAAGGTTTTTCCCAAGATGGATATGGTGGTATGCACCTGTAGCCTCAGCTACTCAGAACACAAGTCTGAGATCAGCCTGGACAATATAGTGAGACCCCATCTTAAAAAAATATATCAAAAGGTCCTTCTTGGTGCCCCTCCCAGCCCTCTGAGCTCCTTATCTCTAGGCCATGGCTAGCTAGGATGGGCCTGTGTTGACAGCACCCATGTCACCCATTAGAGCACGCCCATGGGGCAGGGATGTGTTCCTGGCATCTTCTACTGGGTGTCCATCTCAGTGTCAGTACATTGAAGGAATGTGATTGCCCAACACACACGGGTTACCAGGCGGAAGGCCCCAGATCCCAGTCACTAACTGTGGCTCCCAACCAGTGTTGGTTCCAGCTAAGAGCTGAGTGACTAACCCCACTGCTTCCTGTAAAGGACAAACACAGGAACTCATGGGCCATCCTCTCTCCTCCTCACAGGAGAAAAGACTGTGCCCATGATGCCTGGGCACTCCTCCCTGGCATCTCTGTGGTTTTACTCAGAGGGAAGCAATAAGAGAAGATTCAAGACAGACCTTTTTTAAGAAAAGAGAAAAAGAAAGAAAGAAACCATTTTCTAAGGTTTTTTCTGAGCAAAGTTAAGCATGAAATCCACAAACAGATAAACAGGCAAATTATATAAGCCAGGCTGGCTCGCTGCCTGGTGCTGGACAAATGACAGTTGACCCTGGCAGCCCCTGCTGGCTCATGTGCCATTTACAACCATTAGCCTGCGGTCACCAAGCCTCAATAGCTAGTGAACAAGTCACAGATGGAGTTCTTGGGCAAAAAGGGTGTGGGCAGAGATGGGTGGGTGCTCCAGGGTGGGCCTTGGCTCTGGCAAATCTTTGACATTGTCTGGCAACATGACATTGGTTTGCACAGAAAGGATTTCCTTTGAGGAATGGCCTGGCAATGGGGTTGCAGAGAAAGATGCCTGGCTGGGAGGCTGAGTTCTAGGTGAGCCTCTGCACTTCTACTCCTGTATGAGGCTCCAACTGGAGCCTGGTGATTACCTGCCTGAGGTCTGGAATCAGGCGACCTGAATTCAGTCCCCAATTCCACTGATACGTTAGGTGGCTGTGGGCAAGGTTATTTAACCTCTCTGTCAAATGCGAATAATGTCAGAGCTGTTGTGAGGATAGAGAGAAAGTGCACTTGCAACAATGCTGGCATTCAGCAAGTGCCCAGTAGATGCTGGCTGTCATGATGCACGGAGCAAGCAGTCTGCCCATCACTGTATTCATCATTCTTTTGCTTATCACACATGCACTCCATAAACATATGAACCCTGTGTCTGCAACCATGGGGAGAAGATTGCATTTGTAGTAAACAGACTTTTTTTCCTTATTCCATAAACAGTATGTTCAACAACAATTTATGCAGCATTTACATTTTATCAGATGCTGTAAGTAAAGTAGAGATAATTTAAGGTATACAGGAAAGTCGAGCATGGTGGCTTATGGTTGATGCTTTTAATCCTAGAGCTCAGGAGGCTGAGGCAGGATGATGGCAAGTTCAAGGCCAGCTGGGGCTATATAGTAAGACCCTGTCTCAAAAAGAGATGAGAGAGAGAGAAAAAAAAAAAAACCTTATAAAGCAAGAATACAGGAGGGATGTTTAGGATGCATTTTATAGAAGGGCCTTGGTATCTGGGGGAGGTGGAGGAGGTCCTGAGCCAATCCCCCACAAACATCAAGGGAGGATTTTATGTATTGAGCAGCTACCCTGGCTGGGGACAGACAAAATCCCTGCCCATACAGTATTTACACATCCTCAAATAAGTAACTTACATAATGTAGGATTATGGTAAATGCTAGGGAGACAATGAAACAGGCTTAGTGGCAGGGGTAGGACTGGTGCTATTGTGCAGGCTGGAAGATCCCTCCAGGGCTGGGTGAGTGAGCTGATCTGATCAGAGGAGGGGGCAGCCTGGGGGCAGCTCACTCAGTAGAGGGGAGGGCTGGATGGGAGTGGGCAAGGGGGCAGGGGAGAAGAGCATGGCGGCTCAAGTGACAATTGGGAAATTAAGGGAGGTCAAGGCATTCTCACAGGCCAGGACTGGTCCTCCAGAGAGCTTGCTGATGAGAAGGGAGACAACAGGTGCCACACCTTGCCTTGGGTCTTGACTGGCACTCATTTTTGTCCTGTGTCCTGGAGATATTAGGGTCAGTCTACTTTGTTCCATAGTGTTGAGAGCTTCTGTTTCCCTAACACTTGTCAGGTCCTATTTTAATGTTTAAAGTCCTTTGATCAAATAGCAATAAGAATAACCACCTCTCTCTGGGCTGGGAGAAACTAGGCTAGGATGAAGGTAATAAGCACGTGGGTAATTGGACCCCAATGTTAGTGGCTAAGTGCCAGGAGAGCAGAAAAACAGAAGTTACCCATCGTGTGGAATCTTCTAGGAGGTGAGGGCATTGGTGGGGAGGAGTGGGGGAGGGACTGCTGACAGATGAACCACCTGAGCACAGGTGGGGAGGTGGGAATGGTCAAGGTGACTTTGGGGCTTCATAGGACTCAGAGGTAGCCTAGACTGCAGAAAGTTAGGCAGATGGGACTCGAGACTTAGCCCTCAGAGCAAGGTGGATAAGCAGAGAGTCATCTGCCTAAGTGATCTGTACCTCCTGGTGGGTAGACAGATGCAGGAGTCACACTCAAGTCCCCAAACACCTACTGCCAGACTACAAAATGAGAAAACACCTAGACTTCAAGGAACTTTAGTGATCTAAATTTCAACCTCCCAATTTAATGAGCAGGAAATTGAGACTAGTCTGGTGAAGGTCAACGCGGGCCCCTCCCATCACAAAGAAAGAGGCTGACCCTGTGAGTCAGCCTGCAGTATTATTCCAGCAAATGTCACTTGGGAGGGACGCAGCCCTTTTCAGGTCTCAAATAAAACTCCAGGCTTAATTAGAGTCCAACCACCTCCAGCTTGGTGATGACCACTCGACATAACCTGGACAACCAGCCTTCCCATCTTCATGTAGCTATAAGGTCACACCACCAGGAACAAGGAAGGACACAGACTTCTGTGGAAGGAGGCTGTAAAAGAAGGAGCACTGACCTAGGAGTCAGGAGATCCATCTCAACCCAGAGGCACTGGCAAGATTAGGACCAGTCATTTCTGCTTGTGGAGACTTAGTTTTCCCATATATAACCTGTAGGCTTGTCGAGGTCACCTGACATTCTCCTGTTTTCTCCACTGCAGCTGTAAATACAGGTTGAGCATCCCCAATCTGAAATGATCAAAACTCCGTGGGCACTGATGCCACGGTAGAAATTAAATACCTGGCCTCTTGTGCTGGGTCTTAGTCAAACTGCAGGCCTACTACAAATATTGTATGACCTTCAGGCCACATGTAAAAGGTATATTTTAAATGAGTTTCCTGGCTAGTCTTGGGACTCAAGTTTTCTAATTATTTCATTGTATATATGCATTCACTCCCAAATCTGAAAAGCTTCTGGCTCCAAGCATTTTAGATAAGGGACATTCAACCTGTACTGTGGAACACCCACACACAATTTCTCCCAGCACCTTTATTAAGGTTTCCATGTCTATGAAAGTTACCTTACCTGTATCAGGTTCTCTCTCATTAGGTCCTGGAATAAACTCTGCCCTCTGGAAAGGTTCCACCAGCCCTGTTAGACAGAAGACAAATTCATGGTGACTGACCATAGCACAGGTCTGGGACCTAGGTGCAGGTCCCCACTGCCGGGTGAGCACACTGTCAAGAAACAATAGCTCTGCATCAGTAAAACCACTAGCTGGAGCCAATGGTCCTGGAAAACTTGTCCCTCTGGGTCCTGCTGGTGGTTGAGGTACCTCTGCAGGAGGAGGGAAGAACATCTGTGATCCAAGCAGAGCGCAGGTGTCAAGGAATCAAATTGTGTGCCAAAAGCACCAAGACAAAAACAAGCCGGAATCCCCCCATTCCCCGGTCCACAGACAGCAAGCTCCATGCAAGAAGGCAGCATGGCTGGGCCAGAGCTGTCACCTTTAGCACCTCCCTGAGCCTGACAGCTTCCAGGAAGCAGTCCAACTGTTTACTACAAGACTATTTCCCGTGGTCCGCCCAGGCTGGGCTCTGGTTGGCTGCCTGAAGTTTCAGTTTCTAAGGAATGAGAAACATGTTCACAACGCAGCATGCTGAAAACAGAAGTATCTCATCTTTTCAGTTCTTGATCGAGGTGAAACTCTTGCTCCATCCTTACCTGTCGTGTGACTTGGGCAAAGCCTCACTTCTCTGAACCTGTTTCCCCAAGGGAAAACCATGGGGGTGGGGGGCATGAATCTATCCAGCAGGATCAGAAAGAGATTTCTCCTAACAGCAGGAGTAGGAATGGAGATTCTAAGCAGGGCTGTGCATATCCTTTGCTGACATTTCTGTTTCTAGGTTGCAGAAGAGCGTGGTCACGCTGTCCACTGCAGGGCCCTCTGACTGTTTTAAATGAAATGATCGAGTCAGCTTGCTCTCAGGTATTCCACCTGTCTCTCTCCCTACCTGTGCTCAAGACTGCGGCCACAGGTCTGGCAGTGGTGTCCTCCTGAGAGTCACACACAGGTGTGGCAAGCAGGGTGAACAGCTGAAGTAGGTCACATGTTGACCTTGGCTGGGGTGTTTCTCTCGGTTGTTAAATCAGCGGACTGGTCCAGGTGACCCGAGGTTCCACCCAGCTCAAACATTTCACTATTTTATGATTCAGAAGTCAAAATCATTAGGCCAGGACTTTCAGATGCTGACAATCTAAAATCCTAGATTGTTAATTAATGTCATCTTCTTGTATGATTTGTAAAGAGGGAGATTATGGCTCCCAAATAAAGAGACCTCCTGTTAATTTTTTAAATCCTATCAGATTAACATTTCAATGGAAGAGTCTGATTTTCTAAGAGACTTTCTGAATGTGTTTCATATACTGTCTTTTAATGTTACTTGTACTATGTAGGATTTGATATAATGGAATGTGTATCTTCTATTTGTAAATGATGAAGCATAAAGATATTTAAATGTAATACCCACAAGGTCTCTCCAGGACTGAAGACACAGAAGAGAACGGATGCTACTGAGAGCAAAACAAGCTTCTCTTTGATCATCTCCCCCAGGACAGTCACATTGATTTTGCATTAATACTCCCTGGCCTTTTTCTTTTATAAACCTGCTTGAGCTGGGCATGGCAGAACACACCTGCAAGTCCAGCACCTGGGGGGCTGAGGCAAAAGGAGCTTTCAAGATCTGTCTGGGCTAGCTACATTGTGATACCCTCTCTCATAAAACCAAAAGAAAAAGGAAAAAAGTTCTTAAATTTACAAAACAGAATCTATGTAGAAAATATACATGTACTTAAATAATTACAAAGTGACTTCCTTCATGACTGCCCCCCCACCCATCCTTGCAATGCTTGTCATCCTTCCTCCTCCCTGGTGGTGATACTTGACTTTTATTCTGGCCCTCTTGCCGTCCCTTACTTCTTAGGTGTATATCCCTGGACAACTCATTGTCAGCAAGCTCATTTCCTTGGTAGCTTTCTGCTGGGATTTTCTGTGCATTTGGAAATGCTTGGTCTCCCATGCCCAACCTGCAGCTGGGAATCTGGACACAGAGTGGCCTAGGAGCTCTCGGTTGTGGCAATGAATGACGGGAGGAGGATGAAGAAGAACCCAAACCATGACCCCACGCTGGGCACTCTGCTAAGCCTTGCTCTCCAGTTACCTCGTCATCCCCTCAGCATCACTAAAATGGAGGTGGTATCACTACTTTATAGATGACAAAATCAGGCCTTAGGCTATGGGGACAAGTCCCCATCTGCTGCCTAGCTGCCCAGCCCCAGGCATGGTCACTAAGCCCCAAAGCTGAGACACTGGGATGGCGGGAGTGGCAGCAGACACTTCTCTTCTGTCTGCTCCTGTTGGGTCCTGTCTTGGTGCCAAGAGCTTACAGACGTTACAGGAAAATAAATGTTCAGAGTCCATTTTCTCCTTCTTTTTTTTTTCCCAGCAATGACTTAATGATGACTGGGATCCCACCTGATCTGGGCTCTTTTCCTGATGATTCATGTATAACATTGCCCTTGGATTGTCTAAGACAGGCTGTGTGTGTAATGCAGAGTATCAAGCCAAAGGCCTTGAGTTCAAATCCTGAACTGTCATTGGCTGTTAGTTTCCTCATCTGCAAGTGGGCCAGCAATGGCAGCCTTACCCCCTTCCAGGATCACTGCAGTGAGGGGTGAGAGACATGCCACATCTGAGTCCCTCTGGGTTCCTCTCTGCATTCTCTCCCTCCTGGCAGTCAAGGACCAGCTTTCAATGCTCAAAGAACCCTAAGGGAGGTGATCCAGGACCACCTACCAATCCAGACATGGGGAAATCAAGACAGCGAGGGAAGGGGCAGAGCACGGGGAACCCAGGATTACCAATCAGGCTGCAACACCCCAAATGTGACAGCTGCTCACCTAAGCTACATCTGGTACCGTACAAAACGCTGTTCATGGAATATCCCACTTAATGTTCATGGCACCCTATGACAGGTGCCAGAGGTACTCCCCCTTTTCATGGGGAAGGACTCTGAAACTCTGACACTTGAAAGAACTTTCCCAAGGCCTGCTTAGCTGGGCAAAGCCAAGGCAGAACTGGGCAAAGGTAATCTGACTTACCCACCACCATTCCTAATAGCTGGGCAACACAGGAGGCCCTAGTTGCCTCTAAATTCCTGGAGCCTACATGGTCGATCCTACGGAGGCCATGCTGGACCTGCTCAGTCTCTTTCCCCAGAGCAGCCAAGCTAGGACTTCCCAGCAGCTCCCACCCAGGTCTCTGCATCACCAGGTAAAGGGGCTGTCCAGGTCCAGCCAGGCACACAGCTGCTGGAGAGTAAGGAAAGCTTAAGGCTGGAGGGTTGTTGCCATGGAGAAAGAAGTTGCTCCACACCCTGTGGGCACCTGCAGGGCCAGATGCCAGCCTGCATGCACCCTGAGGCAGAAATCTGAATCCGGATTCTCATGCAGGCCCTTCTATACCACCAGCCTTCTCCTCAGGACCCCCAGCAAGAAAAGCAGAAATAAGACTTCCCAGCCCAATTCCCGCTCAGCCACCCCCAGAGGGGCCTCTCTGACTGGGAGAGAGCAGGCTTGGCACAGCTGCAGCTGTCAGCAGGCAGTGTTGTCCTGCCTGAGGAATTCGCAGACCCACATGTGTTGGACTCCCACTGGGGCACAGTTAACAGGAAACTGAGCAAAACAGCCTGTTGGCACCGATGAGCTCCTCCTACTCCCAGCTCCTGAACCCTGTGGGCTGTTGGCTTCCCTGGCTGCGCAGGAGGCAAAGTCAAGTCCTTCAAGACAGCCAGGTTCTTTTCCTAGCTGTGCGACCTTGAGCAGATCACTCCCCCTCTCTGGACCAGTTTTCTCTCAGTGGATGAAAGAGGCTGTGCAGCCAAGTTCAGAAGGGACAGTGACTTTGTGACATACTCCCTTGCCTGGAAGTATTACCCCCACCCCTTCCATTAGCAGCCCTCTGCTATTGAAGACTCCTCCTTAATTGTGGGAGGCAGTTAACCCTACAGAGATGCAAGTGGAAACCAGGAGACTGGGAAAGCGTCTCACACTGCCCTGGTGGGTCACAGCTTCAGGGCCATACTGAGAAAATAATATCCGTAATCACCCGACACGGGGCTGGAGTCCCCTGCCTCCAAATTTTGAAGTAGGGGGGTCACTGGGCTGTGTGGGACACTGCTCATGAGTTTTTGGTAAAGATCTGAAAGACCCCAAGAGAAGCAAGCATCCATCGAAGGCTGCGTCAAGCCCTGAAGCGGTCCTTGGCCTCTCCACCCCTTCTTTAGACAGGTGGGCAGGAGGATCAGGGAGTCTGAGCCACTTGCCCGAAGCTGCACCCGCCGGCGGGGTAGGACTTCCCCTCCTCATGGCGCGCTCTCTGCGGCACTACCCAGTGAGCTCGTGGTCCCCAGAAAGGCGTGACTACCGCCGAGGCCGTGACACGTAGCGCGCAAGTCGCGGTGACAGGTCCCGCCGCCCCTAGGGGAAGCAGAGCGGAGACAAGGGAGGCGCCGGGCCCCGGGGAGCGCTGCCTGGTGTTGGGGATCCTTGGGGCCACACGACTAAGCAGTATGAGGAAAGGCTATGGGATTTCTCAGCCATCGGGGACCGTAGGATTTGAACTAAAAATCCCTCCCGCCAGACGCTGTTACGCGGGCCTCCGCCCCCGCGCCTGGCGCGCCTCCCCAGGTCCCCAGACTTTCGGCGACACGGATCTCCAGGGACGCGCTAAGGGGAGGTTGGGGCGCAAGGCCCGGCTCGATCAGTCCCGACCGACCCGACCCCCTGCCCCGCCACTTACCGGTCCCGGGCGCGCTGGTGTGCCGCGCGACTGGCTGCTGGGCCCGGCCTCCCTCTTGCTCCCTGCGTCCCGGGCGGCTCCCGGGCGGGGCCGGGCCGGGCCAGGGCGGGGCTCGGACACCGCGACAGCCCCGCCCCTGCCTGGACCCGCCCGGTGCCCGCCACCCGGCCAGCGCCAGGGGGCCGCGCCTAGCTCCCCGCGCGTTTGGCAGAGGACCGCGCGCCCAGCCCCTGCCAAGCCGGCGCCCTGTGCGGCCCCGGGTTCCAGCGCCGAGGACTAGCCTCGCCGCCCGGTGTCGCAGATCCAGGGCACCGGAGCGCAGGGAATGCTGGCCACGCCGGCCTAGACAGCTGGACGAGCCCTGTCCCCACTTGCCTCCACCCGGGTCTCATTCGAGGGTGTGACACGGAATTGCCGATCCCCTGGGAAAGGTGACACTCGAGAGGAAGCTCCTCCGCACGTCCAGATTGGGGAGCGGGTCCGGGACCGTAGATCTTGTCCTCACAGAGCGGAACGGGGCGAGGGATGGGCGTCCTCCAGGTAGAAAGCACTGTGCCTAGCAGCACGAAATTTAGTAAGGAAGTGACACGCAGAGGACAACCTGATTGTGCGGGCGAGGAGGCGCGGAGGACTTTTCTCGGCCTCCCACCCCATAGTCTTGAGCTCCAAAGAATGTGAATTCCACCCATAAATCCACAAATCTTCCCACAAATCCAAGGCCTAAGATTGCGCCTCTCTTCCCTCTTGGGTCTCTTCCCCTAGAGGGGAGCAGGGCCAACACCTGCTCCAGGGGCTCCAGCCCCTTCACCTTGCATCCGAATGTCTACCAAATGTCTAATTCTTTTTTTCACTTTTTTCGGTACTGAGGTTTGAACTCAGGGCCTACCTTGAGCCACTCCACCGGACCTTTTTTGTGATGGGTTTTATTCAAGATAGGGTCTCATGACCTATTTACACGGGCTGGCTTCAAACCACATTCTTCCTGATTTCTGCCTCCAGAGTACCTGGGATTACAGGCGTGAGCCATGGAGCCCAGCTTGAATGTCTGTCTACATCTTATCTGCTGCTGGGCCTTTGCATTTGAAGGTGCCTTTGACCCGGAATTTGCTCCACACATTTCCTGCCAAATTCCCACAGTTTGATCATGGGGAAACCTTTTGCACTTGGCCCCTGTTGTTTCTCCCATACCTGGCAGTACCCAGCCTTCCAGTGCATTCAACCTCATTTTGAACTGTTCCTGGGCTCCAGCCCTTATCTTTTCCCAAGGAATTAAAGATTTGGATGATTGGTTGTGTCCACTTGGATGGGGCTTTTGCCACTAATGGGAGACACAACTCGCAAAACCAGTACTCTGTGAACCCTGGTCTTCACAACATAGGTGTGGTTGGCCATTTTATAGATGAGAAGAAAGAGGGTTGGTAACTGACCCAAATCCAACATTTCCAAGAAGGTATTTTCCTGTTTTATTTCTCAGCAGGACTACCAGAACAAATAAATATACAGACCCAAGAGGTTACTATCTGGGCAGATAGTAATGAAGGGGGCAGGGGCCAGTTCTGGATTGAGGAAGAGGCAGAAGAATTCAAAACCCCAGGATTAACACTGGGGTGAACCTAGTTTGAATTAGAGTGCCAGAGGGTCAGCCACACCTCCTTAGTTGGATCCCATTATTAAGTCGTAATTATACTGAGCGTCAGGTGAACTCACACAAAGAGTCTCTTCTATTCTTGCACATGTCTGGTTCCAGGTGTCTATTATACATCTTGTTATCCTGACTCCTTCACAGGTGTTGCTGCAAGCCCTGGGGTTACAACAGCCAGGCTGAAGGTGCAGGCAGTGATTAGCAATTGCTATAATCCTTGCATTTGGATAATACTCTTGCTTTTCAGGATGCTTTCAAATGTGCCCCCTCGTTAAATCTCTGCCGTGATCCTCTAGGCAGTCAGGAATACCTTAATTAATTTTTGTCTTAGAAGGAAGCCGAGGCACAAAGAGGTCAGGTGGTTTGCACAAGGACAGAGCTGGCCCTGCCAAAACTACTGGAAGGCTGGAGGGAACAGCCCCATGGGAAGTCGATGGCCTCTGCTGAGAGATGGTTTGGTACCTCTGGGAGTTAAGAGCTCAGACTCTGTTGGGGGTGTGGCTCAAGTGGTAGAGTGCCTGCCTCCAAGGCTGAGGCCCTGAGTTCAAACACCAGCACTGCCAAAAAAAAAAAAAAAAGAAGAAGAAAGAAAGAAACTCTAGCAAAGAGCTCAGACTCTGGTGCTAAACTGCCCCAATGTGCTACTTTGGACTGTTACTCATCGTTGATTTCCTCCTCTGTTAAAAAGGGTCTAATAATAGGAATTTAGGCTGCATGGTCGCGTGCCTTGTGTTGTGAGCACCTGCCTCTTGCGAGCTGCTGCATTACGGTTCTAGATCCAGTATGCTCACTCCAGTTTCTGGCTGTCAGTATTTCATCAAACCTCTCCTGCAGTCAACCATATGTAGTGTCCAGGAATATGGAGGAGAAGGAGGCATAGGCTATCACCCCAAGGAGATCAAAGCACAACAATTCTGTGTCTGAGTGAGATAGCATAGCAAAGTGCATGGAGAAGAACAGTCTCCTGTTGCTAAGGCAGGGCAGAACACCAGTTTCAGAACAGCAGAGAGGCTCAAACTCCAGGCCCGCTTTTGTCATCACTTATTTGAGTGAGCCTTGGTAAGTCATGTCACTTGTTAGAACACTGGGTTTCTCACCTGTCAGTTGGGAATAGCAATAATATTTAAAAATATATGTAACATATTCATATATATGAAAATATATGTAATAAAATATCTTATGAACTGCAAAATGCTATTCAGATATCAGCAATATTGTTATAGTTATTATCTTTGGCTGTACAGTGAAGGAAAAATAGTTGAGTAAGCAATACACAGCTGGGGGAGTTTCCATTCATCTTCAGCATTCACTCCTGCTCCAGAAAGCAGTGGAAAGGAAAACCTATCTGGAAAGAAAATTCTGGCAAAGGACTAGGGGGAGAGCCCCTCTGTCATATCTGGAACCGAGCACAGGAAACCCCGCCCCAGGCCTCCCTTTCAGAACAGCAGCCTGGAGAGGCAACCACAAGAAGGGCACTAAAATTATGCCTTTCGGAAATTCTGACTCACTTGGCTCTGGGGCTGTTTGTGCAACATCTCCCAAAAAGCAAAGCAAAGTTCTTGCAACTCTTTCCCCCACCTCTTCCCTACACCACTCACAGGGAAGCAGCATCAGGTTAAAAAAGCTGTGAAGGTTACTCAGGTCTGCTTCACCCAGACTGTCACTAACTAGCCAGTTTCATCACCAATCCACACACTTCACCAGTGTGATTGTTACTGTATGTATTCAGTCTCCACAGAAAGATTAGGAGAAAAGCTGGAATGGCTTATCTGGCTCATATAGCCCTTCATTGTATGGATGGGGAAACTGAGGCAAGAGGGTAGGAAGGAGGTGCCCTGCCCAGGCCTCTGGAAATTTATGATTCCATCTCTCCATCTCTAGCTAGTAGATTGAATAATGGCTGTCGTCTAGATGTAGATGAAAAGCTCACACTGGAATGCTCATTTCTGGGGTGCCCTATCAAGAGAAGTCCTGGGCTGGGAGGGGAGACTTGGTTCTTGCCCTAGCTCTGCGTTTGGCTTCTCTTTGCTTTCTCTTTGCCAATCCTCCAAATGTTAGGCTGTCCCTTCCTACTGGGGTCCTGTCCTGAGTTTCCAGGGCAAGAACCCCACCACCCCAATGGTTAGCTTCTCTGGATGGGTTGCTTTCTCTGTGGGCAGCTGACCCCCAGTGACTGAGGGGGACCTCCTGGTTGCATGGCAAGGAGTCATCCCAGCACCAAAAGCGGGGACTGGAGTAACTCAGGATGTTCTTCTGGGTACATTGAATTGCGCTGCTTTTATAAAATAACAATCTGCATGTGTAGAAATCACAGGACCAGATCCCAGAATGACAGGCTCTGGACTTGTTCATGCTGCTAACTAGCTGTGTCACTCCTGAGTTTCTGAATCTGTGAGATGAGAGAAGTGAGAAAGATTATCTCTAAATTATTCCCCTAACCTAAAAAAATTGTAAGAATCCTGGACTTAGTGCACAATAACATCATTTAACATGACAGCGCTGCTATTACTATGCTCCAAGGAATACGTTCTAGTGTAAACAAAAGTGTTAGAGTACAATTGGTAAACTTTATTTCTAAAATATATCCTTCTAGAAGAGGCTCGCCATGTTCTTCCCACTAGTAGGCAACCCACGCTACTCTCTCTGCTTCTGTTGGGACTGTGTGTGTTTAATTAGATGTTTTATTTTGAAATAATTGTAACTTCACATGTGCTTGCAAGAAATTGTACAGTGAGGTCCCCTGTAGCCCTTACCCATTTCCCTCCATGGCAGCAGAAACTGTTAGGTATACGGAGTTAAATGTAACCTTCGGGATTGGCTCTTTTCCCTTAGTGGAGTTCTCTGGAGACTCACGCAGATGGTTTACTCCTCCTGCTTGCTGGGTTGCATTCTATGGTGGAGGTACATTCCCTCATTGAAAGACATCTGGATCGTTTCCAGTTTTTGCTGTTTTGTATGAAGCTGCTAGTTATTAGTTGTAGCCCCATGTGCAATCCCACACCACCTGGTTTCTGAGTGTCAGTGATTTCCCTGGGCCAGGTTCTGGGCTGTGGAAAACCAACAAGAGCAAATTACGTGATTCCTGTCATCAAAGAATTTAGGATCTGTTAGCTATGCCACATTCAGACACACAGAACATTGAAATAACACTGCATGTCACAGAATTGATTCCTAGAGGAATCCAGGGACAGAAGAGAAGAAGGGAAGGAGTTTGGGGGAAGGTCCTCTGGATACCATGAGTTGTGCACTGATCTTGAATGACAGAGAACAATGATATTTAACATATATTAAGGGCTTACCATGAGGACAGCAGTGTTCGAAACCTTTATCTATATTATTTGTTTAATCCACACCATCACCCTCTGTGGTAGCTCCTTTTACCATTCCACTTCACCAATGAAGGAACACAGATGTTATCTTGCCCACCCTCACA